TGTGTCATGTCAGGTCTTTATACTCAACCTGAGTCTATATATATTAAGTAGTGTTAGGCGGTGCTCATTGGAGGATCGGTTTCGGTTTCGGTTTCAGTTCGGCTCGTTTCGATTCGGTTGGGTTTCTGACTGTTTCAGTACACACTATAAAGATAAGATAAGATAAGATAAGATAAGACAATACTCTATTATCTTAGAGAGAAATTTTTCTTGGCTGTACAGGACCGTAAAAACACACGCAGGTATACATAAAAATATCTAAATTATATATGACTCTCATTAAAATTCACCATGAAAAGAGAAGTAAAGCTGACAAAATGTACATATCACATCAGATGCATTACTCAACCACTTGCAGGAATTTGATTACAAGACCTCTGGTGTTATATACTCATAAATACATACTCTAAAGAGCAATACATAATATTATGCTTATTCTGACAATAGCCTTATGTTAGATGGTAAAAGAAAAAACGTCTTTTTTTATCTTTCTTTCTTTGTTTTTGGAGGACCCCTGGCTCAAATCGGTCGCCCGACTCGCGGCCTTGAAAACACTCGCGTTTGCTCTTGAAGGTCAACGTAGGTTTCGTTCGGTTTGTGCCACGTTGGTCGCTTTTCAACCTCATCATCATCATCATCCGGTGCCTTGCCGACTGGCGTGGGCGATCATGGACCTCCACTTCACTCTGTCTTGCGTTGCAGCAATGGTGTCTGTTGTTCTTGCTGTTCCTAGCCATGTTGTCATCTTGTCCAGTATCTTTTCCCTCTGTCTGCCTCTGCCTCTCTTTCCATCAAACTTGCCTTTTGTTACAATATTCTCCAGTGCTTATTTCTGCATTGTGTGTCCGAAGAAATTTGCCTGTTGCTTTCTTATATTTGTCACAAGCTGTCTTCTACAATTTGCTTCAACCAATACTTCTTCATCTGTTTTTCTAGCTGTCCATGGGCTACGTAGCATGCGTACATGGAGGAAAAACTGGCGCACCCCGACGACCAAACTGGACACAAGCGAACCAAACCGATCTTGCCAATGGGCACCGAGCATTACCAACGCTAGTGTCACAGAGAAAGGTACGTGGGTGGGGAGGGGGATGGACACGGGAGATGGGGGGGGGGGTGCGGGGAGTGAGAGATGAGGGAGAGAACAGAGAGAGAGAGGGAGCGAAAGAGAGAGAAAGAAAGAGAGAGAGAGAAAGAGAGAGAGAGAAAGAGAGAGAGAGGAAGAAGAGGAAGAGGAAAGGAAGTAGAGGATGAGGAGGAGGAGGAGGGAGAAGGAGAAGGAGGAGGAGGAGGAGGAGGAGAAAGGTGTTTGTGTATGTGTGTTTGTGTGTATGTGTGTGTGGGGGGGGGGGGGGGGGTTCTATTCATAATAATCATGCAACTGAGACTCTCAGTGCTGGCAATGTGCAAGGGAGATCATAATATACAGGGACCGAGCGTGAACACATAGTGTTACCATCAGTTGTGTGGTAATTGATGATTCATCAGGTCCGTGCTCTGATTTACATAGAAGATCGCTACAACCCCATTCATGGTGAAGATGAACCAGTTTCCAGTCATCGCCCAAATGATGATGATAATAATAAAAATAATACCAAAAATGATGATGATGATGATAATAATAATAATAATAATAATAATAATAATAATAATAATAATAATAATAATAATAAAAAAATAATTTAAATCTATTATAAAATAATGATAACGATAATGATGATAATAATAATAATTATTATGATAATATTAATCATAATTATAATCATAATAATAATAACAACAATAATAATATTAATAATAATAATAATAATAAAAATAATGATAATAATAATAATAGTAATAGTAATAATAATAATAACAATGACGATGATGATGATGATGATGATGATGATGATGATGATGATGATGATGATGATGATGATGATGATGATGATGATGATGCAGAAATAGCTTTATGTATGAACACAGCTTGTGCACATTTTTTGGAAGATTGAGAGCAAATGTTTAGGACTGCCTGCTGTGGCATTCACAGGATGTTTGTGTTTTAGTGCCTATATGGCAGCTTGCACTGTGTGCTTCCCAGGAAGTTGAGATTGTTTCAGAATGCTTTCAGGTCGTCTTGGATAATATACTTGGCGTCAAAAAAAACCAGACACCCCTTTTTTTTGTTGTGTTTTTTGTATTGAAAGACTGATTTTAACCACAAACAATCTCTCTATAAGGAAAGTTTGAACATTTTACAAATCAATTACACAAAAAAGCAATTTTTAAAAATGAACTTTATTTCCTGAAATTTGATCTTTTAATTGTAGGCAGTAAAATGAAAAGTCACAGTTAATACCGCGTATAGCCGCCGTGGGCATTGGCGACTTCTGTGCACCTCTGCCGCATGCTTCGCACAAGTCTTTGTATGGGATGCTGTGGAATGTTGTTCCATAATATGTTTGTAAGTGCTGTACGTAGCTGATCCAAGGTGATCGGCTGAGGTCTAAGGCGTCGGCGCACTTATGGTTCTCCGTCCCTTCCACTCCCTGGCTGTCTTGGTAGCAGGCCGGAAGCGATCTCATAGGTGCAAGACCCGAATGTACCGGTCATGGGCTGGTGTTGTAGCTCAAAGACGACCCGTCCGGGGACCATCTTGCAAGGATCCAGACGTCTGCAAACGATTCATTAGTCGATATATCGTGTCTCTTGTCACATTGAAGGTCCTTGCAACATTTGCTACTGGCGTACTGGACCTCACAACTGCTTGATTGCGCTCTTCGTTCGTTAAACGCGGCATGCTGTATCTTTAGATTTAGATGTTTTGAAATGAAACTTTTAACATTTTATTCTTGGCTACAGATAAAAGATGTGTTAAACCCATAAAATAAAATTTAAAAACCAAAAACGTTCGAGAAAAATGACAAAACACGGGTTTTAACAAAACAAGACCTGAGCTTTATTAACTGGGCACCTGATCATAAATGCAGGCTGATCAGGAGCGTCAAGTGTTCACAATCACGTGTGGAAAATTTCAGCTCAATGGGTTTTCAACTTTTCATGAAACACGCAATTAAAATGTGTCTGGTTTTTATTGACGCTAAGTGTATTATCGATTGTGAAGCGCATAGAGCTTGCTGTTGTGCATTGATTTGCGCGATACAAATGCTATCTATAGTCTATTATTATTAATATTTGTCAAAGTTGTAAGTCTACAATATTGTTGTTCTCCGAAACCCTGTTGTACTTTGTTGGGACCTAGACGGTGTTCCAAAGATATACCAAGAAACTGAATCATTGTCGGATGAAATTCCCTCAGGAGAATTCTTGGCATTCGGTGGTAGGACAAAATATCAGACACAAACGTTGTCAAGGGCACATGCTGAGGGTTATTTTTTTTAAGTTAAAAAAAAGGATTCAGCATCGCAGGGCTGGCCATGTTGTAAGATTGCCTGATTTCAGAATTCCGAAAGTAGTATTCTACACTGAGCGTAAACCTAGCTCATCAAAAAGCCCACAAGCTGCACACATCCACAAGTGGAAATGAAGCTTTTAAATGTTTAAAATGTGGCAAACCTTTGTCTGCCAGAATTGGTCCCAACGGTTGTAACAGAAGTCATAATACATTAAAAATTTAACTTTTATTTCTTCTGTTTCGTTAAAGAAATAATATCCCCTGAAGATGCATAGTAATCGTCAGACATTGACCGATGAACTATTATTATGTTAGTTATGAATAACATATGGCTAAGGCTAGTTTCAATAAAATGGGCTGAATCCTGAAAAATAGAAACATGTCAATGACCACCAAAATGAACGATCTGAAATGCTATGTATGGTCAACCCTTCTATATGGCTGTGAATGCTGGACAATCAATAAAGGCAGTGAAAGTAAAATAGAAGCAACAGAAATGTGGTTTCTTAGGAGACTGCTAAGAGTATCGTGGAAGGAAAAGCAATCAAATGAGGTAGAGCTTGATGAAGCCCACGTGGGACGCTAAATGTTGAATACAACCAGGAAACGACAATAAGTGCAGTTTTTGGGACACCAGAAGAGACATAAGGGTCTTGAACATGTAGCTCTCACTGTCAAAATTGGAGGTAAACGAGGCATCGGTAGGCCCAGAACAAGCTACTTAGGGAACCTAAACAAATGGGTAACAGGGAAAGATCAGGGAAACGTAGCTTTTTTTTTTAGAGCGTCTGAGCAATGGAATGAATGGAGAACCATGATCGCCGATGTTTGTCACAGATCTGGCAGTGGATGATGATGATGATGATGATGATGATGATGATGATGTTGATGATGATGATGATGATGATGATGATGATGATGATGATGATGATGATGATGATGAATAACATTTTCGTTTTTCATGACACCAATTATGTCACGACGCGGTGAAATCATGTGCTCGTCAAATTTTTTGTGCTAATGGAGTTATTGGTATCATCCATAGATGTACACTAAAACAAAACAATAAAAAGTACACTGTTTCAGTTTGATAAAGAAATTTCCTGCCCATTGTGAAAAAGATCTAGCTGCTAGTCAACCTTAACTTCACATGGCCCAGAACCTTACTGATGGCTCTTTATGTTTTAAAAAAGAAACCCGGAGTGACTATTTGTGTCTATAAGACATATCATGCACTAAAAATAGATGATGTAATAAAAGAAAACAGACATCACTGAACTGCCTGACAGAACAAGTAAGACGTTAATCCAGAAAGGGACAAGAGGTTTCACATGCTTGCACCTTTAAGAGAATCGCTTTGAATCAAAACATAACGTTAGAATCAAATAAAACACGTAAGATTAAGAGCAGAGACACGCCCACTCACATGTAAACAAACTTTTTAGCCACATTAAAAATGGCCGCCAACAAACTCAAATGTGTCCGTGTCACGTGACCTC